AGCAGCTGTTATGTTTAAGGTCTTTGAGCAACCTGCACAACTCAGGAATCCGATAGGCTAAGAAATGAGTCACCAAGTACAGATGGAATATACCACCCCGTTTATGTGGTAACATCTGGGGGCTTCTGAGGAAAATCTAAGAAGTGGGGTCAGTGACTGACAGGTATACTGCAGCCCTGGAGCTAAATACTAAGTTACCTACCCCAGCTCAAGAGAAGAGCATAAGCTTAATTATACCATGAATAATACCAGAAGCAGCTTACGTAGCACAGTATAGAAATCAATTTCAAAAGCCTTCCCACAATAGCTTCTGCAGGTCACTAGAGCTTGAAGCTGCCTCTTAAGAATATGGCACTACTCACATAACTGCTCCACACACACGAGGGTGACGACTCATCCCCAGGTAATCATTGCTGCACCAAACAGACACCTCTTTCTTGGTGATTAGAGAATCAGTATAGTCATCTGCCATGGGAAATATTTGTGCCTTTCGGTTCACTGTTTTGAATACGCGGTAGGTGTGATCCTTCTTCTTTTCATCTATCTTTTTCTCAAAGAACTGATCATACTGGAAGGTGGATACAGCTGAAATGAGACAGACACTTAAGCACACAGGAAATAATCACAAGAGACCAGGCCTGTGGTGGTTTTGCCAGACAATCTTACATTTTGGCAAGTTATCCTGAAGCAGATGAGACACACCTTCTGGTCTTTGCTTCAGCACAACATCCTTAAACTTCTTGAGCAAGCCATTCCACTCTTCTCCCTCCGTCTCAATGTTCCTCACTGTGGCATTAGTTGGTATTTTGGCAAATTCCATACCTACATACATTGTAATAAATTCCAGTGAGCTTAATCAGTTTGAAAGAAAATGAAGTGGAGTTCAGCAAAGCAAACATTTTCAGTAACTCTAACTCTTCTTTAGGAAGCATGTGCCTGAATCCATGTGCCCCTGTTAGGTTCAGCTATTTTAATTTGCTCACAATTTGGCATTGTATGAGACAAAAGGAAAACCTTGCTATTCAATGACAATACAACATGTAATTTCCTTATAACACATTCAGTAAATCATGACTCAGAAACCCACTCTATACAGCTACAACATTTATCTGAAAGAATTGGCACACACCTAACTGAAGGCAGAGTTCAAGTTAGCTGCTTCCTATTCATTCCTAATATTTTGTTCAGTTAGTACAGATTTTTTTTTTGAGACTATGCCACAGAAAACAAACAGAAAAGTAAAATAAGCTTCCTGAGACAGACAGCAAGGCTTTACTGATATTGGTGAAAGTTCCTTCCTTTGAAGGACAGCCCTTCTGCATCAGGATTGCAAGCCAGCCAACACCCTTTAGTTCCATAAACCAAAAAGAGCATTTGCTTGCTTTCCAGCTTGGATTTGTGCTGGTACTTGCATAGTACTTCAACCCAGTTTCTCTATCTCTGGATATACCACCTTTGCCTACACTAGCACCCTGGTAAAGCTCTCTTTAGTCCTAAGTATCCACTTTGGGTGCAAGCGTAACAGCTCGGTTCACACATTTAGAGCCAGCATATCAAGGTACAGCATACAGTATTCCCACACCAAAATCACCCAGGGGAAACACGGCACAGTACTGCAGGTATGCCATTAACACCCACATTCTTCAACAGCTTTTTATTGCAGTCTCCTATAATCCTACTTGCATAATTTAAGTGGTGACTGTTAGACTTGGCACACTCCAGAGCAAAGTCAGGCACCAGCAGCTCTTCGAAGGAACCAACGCTTCAGTGCACAGAATACATACCTTTCCTGTCTACCTGTATTTCCTGCACATCCTCTTGGAGTTCTAGGCTGGCTTTGCAGAAAACATTACTGTTCTTGTGATTCATCTGAGCTGCCAGGAACGGGCATTTGGTAGCAGAGCTCTGGCTAGCACCAGCAGGTGGGTGGCCAGCAGGTGGCTGGGATCCATCTGTATTCTGTTGGGCCACCTCTGTGGCATTTTTGGCCTCTGAGGTGGGGGCAGAGAAAGGAAAGCACTTCAGCATCATCATTTTAATACAGTGACTTAAGCTTCTCTATCCATTACCTTCACAATTTGGCACAAGCCATTCAGAACGATTTAACTGTCACATTTTATTTATATAAGCACAAAATCCCAGTAAAACCTAAGGGGCATCTGATTTAAGACACTAGATGTAGCACTGTACCCTTTGGCAGGGGTGGGGGGTAATCTCTTTCACTCCCAAATGGGAGATTTTCTTTTGAGGAGCTCGGCTATTTTCAGCCACCAGTCCTTCCTCTGCTGCAAGCCTCAACTCCTTCCCCTGAATGCCAGAGTAAGAAGCCCCCAAGGAATGTTGGGGGTGGGGTGAAGAGCCGCTCAGGCGTGAGAAATCCCAGCTCTGCAATCCAGGATCACAGATCTCCAACCAGAGCTCACTGCAGGCTGTCCTAAAAGGCCAGTCTCTGATTTGTGCCCATGCTTAATTAGCACAGACATTTAAAGAATTAAGCAACCGTTATCTCGAAGCTGCCCACTCCAGAAGTTTCCTTCTACAACATAAGATACCTGTGTATATGGTTTTTTTTTTTACGGGCGACT